AGGCCTCGTTGCATTGGGAGCACATCCTGTACAAAAGCTGGGAACCTGCCTGATACGTGCACTCCTCAATGCAAAGCGCACGTCGCTGGCTCTCCTGCTGGACGGCTTCCGGCCCCCTGCACAGGGTTCAGGACACGAGGCAGGTGCTCCCGCGACTTCCTCGCAGGTCTCCTCGCAGGGAGGGTGTGGTCTTGTACTTCCTGGTTCCTGCCGGGTCAGACCCTCTGGGGCCCGTCCTGAAGCAGCACCGCCTGACCTCTCGCACCCTGTTTGGCATCTTCAAGCCCCTGCATTGCCTTCTGAACCAAGTTCAACTTCTCAGCCTGGAAATTGACATATCGTATCACGACCCCCCTCTTACCTTCCTGTTTACTCACTTTCTACCTCTTGGACAGACAATAAATTAAGCGCTTTCCATTTAATCCTCATGATAATCCTTTGAGATGGGCATTATCTTTGCTTCTCCGATGAAGAAATGGAGGCTTATAGAGGCTACGTTGCCCTAAATAACCCAGTGCATTTCACTTCCTAGGGTTGCCGACAGTTACCAGAAACTTGTTGGCTTAAAACAACGCAAGTGTGTTCTACTGCAGTTCTGGAGGCTAAAACTCTAAAATGACGGTGTCGGCAGAGCCATTCTCCCTCAGAAGGCTTTAGGGAGAATCCTTCCTTCCGTCTGCACCTACTGGTCCCAGATGTTCCTCAGCATTCCTCGCCGGCCGCACCATCACGCCAATCTCGGCTTTTGTCTTCACGTGGCCTCCTTCCCGAAGTGTCAAATCTCTCTCCCTCTCTTTTCTCTTACGAAGGCAGCACTCATTGAGCCCACGGTAAGTCCAGAATGATTTCATTTCAAGATCCTTAACTAAGTACAGCTAAAAAAAAAAAAAATTCTTTCCAAATGAGGTCACATTTTGAGGTGGACATGGATTTGGGGGGGAATACAACCCACTATAGCTAAAAAGTCATAATGTGAAACTACATTTTTCTGACTCCAAGACTCATATATTTAACCACTTCCCTTAACCACCTTGCAGAAATCTCCTGGTCAAACTGGACTTCTCTTATTTTTTCTAAACAGGTTTTTCTCTTTCCTGCCTCTCTGCTCTTACTCGTGCTATTTTCTTTACATAGGCCAACCTCTCCCTTTTTCTTTCTTTTAACTAGACTTGCCTGTGGAAATCTTGAGTAGTCTTCAAGATTAAGCTCAATGCCACTTCCTCCAAGAGGCATTCCATGATCGCACCAGCCAAGCTCCCACTGCATTACTTCACATGTCTGCAGCCCCTTCTTATCTTCTATGTCATATTCTAGGTTTTTGTGTAGCTGTCCTCATTCACACCATTCCCACCTCCCACAAATATGCCGTAACTATATCATAAGCTTCTTAAAGGCGAGACCACCATCTCCCATTGTGTATCCTCCACACCACCTTGCACAAGTAGACACTCCCTGGATTTTGCCACGTGAATTCATAATCATCCACCTCATTCCATTTATTGAGTAGTTCATGTATTGAGCAAACAGGCAGGTTGCTTAAAATCCAACTTTTCTCCAATGCTCCTACTTCCCAAAATGGAATTTTTTTCAATAGCCCAATTTATTTTTCCACCTCGAATCCAATCATTTTAATATTTTTTAAACTTTATCTAATGGCAGCAAATCCAGCACCTTCCATGTATAATCCTCCCACAGTTTCATTTTCTGCCTATCCCTAATGCCACCTTCTTTGACTTTTCAGGACAGTCGTATTTCCCTCTCTCGAGGACTCGGAAGACCAGGACAATGTCTCAGTCATCACTGTATCCTTGGCATCTGATGGTGCCTGGATGCCCAGCAGTGTATGGAGGAGGTGAGAGTGAGTAAAGGCAAGATGCTGTGTAGGAGCAGCAGCGGTGGGAGTGACCTTGGGGTGAAAACCTTGCAGGTCTCTCCCTGTTCTCATCACAACCTTGTGAAGTAGGTGTTATCCCTACAGCACAGATGGGAAAACGGCGGCTGAAGAGGATGAGCAAGTTCCTACTGGTCACATAGCACAGTGATGAAGCCAGTTTGAAACCCAGATCTGTCTGATGAACAAAATCACCTCTCGGACTGGACTGCAACCTGCACTGTGTGCCTGGCTCAAGCTGGGGGAGCCCTGGGGCGACAATCCTCAATGGGCCCTGAAGCTTAGACGCTTGGGAGCTGTTGGCTGTTTATCTAAGAAGATCTGGAATAAGTGAGGAGGCAGGTTGAATTGGGAGAAAAGAGTGTAAAGAATACATGTGTGTGGTGTGCGTGTCAGGTACATATGTGGTGTGTGTACTGTGGAATATGTGTGCTGTGTTTGCTGTTTGTGTATGTTACGTGTGTGTGCTACGTGGAAGGGTGCATGTATGTGGTTTGTGTTACATGTAGGGCATGTGGAGGGGAGGTGTGGCATGTTATGTGTGCTGTGTGCAGTGTGTGGGGCGGGGAGAAGGGCTGGCTGATGAAGATGAAAGGAGCTGTGTGTATAGGAAACGGTTTTAGATTCTAGAAGATGCAAATACGTCACAGCTGGACACCAGTCATAACCCAGACACTTCATAGCTGAACAAACTGAGAAATTCACTTATCCCCTGGCCTTGTTTGCTGTAAAATGGCCTGTCAACCTCATGGAGCCACTGGGAGAACTATTCAAGAAGAAATGCTATTAAAACCTTCAACGTATGTAAAGCTCTGTACCACAGAGAGCAGAGAGGTGAAAAGGAAAAGATTGAAGTGGTTCTTGATTTTAAGGAGTTTCCATTCCATTTGGGGGGACTGACACATAAAACAATATTGTAAAGTAATTAGCCTCCAATTAAAATAAATTAATTAATTTTAAAAACTAACTGATGCAAAATGGAAGATGTGTGTCAATGAAAACTGCCATCTCTTGAGCTCCTTACAGTGTGAACAACTGAGCGACATCCATCTCACAACCTTATAAGGCAGGTATTTTTAGCAACCCTGTTTTGCAGATGAGAAACTGATAGCTAAGAAGCTTTCATCTCTGCTTCCGACGCACATGTTAAATGGCACAGCCGGGACTGCCCCCAGGCCTGTGTAACCTGAATCTTTACTCTTATCACTTTCCTGTACTGTTCCCTTGCACAATTCAAAGAAGCAATGTTCTGAGATGGGAACTTTTGCTCCCAACTTGGAAAAGGGAGGAGAAAGGGCAACACAACAGAAAAGAAATCCCTTGTAAAACTGTGTCACTTGGGGCAATATGCAAGGTCCCATGATTGTCACTGTGAGTGTGTCTGACTACAAACTCAGAAAGAGAGGAAGTTGAGCGTGAAAGAGGGTGCTTGCGGGGGCCAGGGGTGTGAACAGGGAACGGCAGGGGTCCCACTCCTGCCGCAGAAGGGCTAGCTACACAGCATCACTGGAAAGCAGCCATGTATTAATGTCCGGCTGTAACAACGTCAGTGAGGAGAATTTGGTTAAAGCCTCGCCTGGCGAGATCTCAGGCTGAAAATCACCAGCTTCCTTTTTTTTCCTCCCTAATCCTTTATAATTTCCTCTAATGCTTTACTCAAGCTTAGGACCATGAGCCTTTGGGGAGCAAAGCGAGGCCCATCTGTTGAGCTAGGAATTTGCCAGACCAAAGTAAAGATCAATCTCACTTTTATTGTAACTTAGTATTTATGTGACTCCAAATACTTCCTAACTGTATCAGCTGAAAATCACTTTGTATTATTGTGAATCACCTCCCAAAGGAGAGATGTCAGGAATACTCTTTAAAACAGATAATGACTGGGCTACTGCCAATGAAAAGAATAAATAAAATGATAGGTAGGTTTCTTTATAATTTGCTTGCTCTGGAAGCAATCTCTGGAAGCTTGCTCTGATCACAATCATCTTGCCTGGAGAGGAAAAATATTTAAGAATGCCTTTTTTTTTTAAAGATTTTATTTATTTTATTATAAGACATATAGGTAAAAACTTGAATATTCTGAAAAATATAGAAAATGGTAATAAAATGGGTGTTTTTCTTAATAAGAAATAGGTTCATAAATATGCTTTATCAAATGTTACAATGGTTGTTATTTTGCAAAATAATAATAAATAGAGCAGAGCTGTGGCATACAAGGGTCAACCCAAAATGCTGGAAGTATTTATATTTTGTGTTTTACAAAAATTCAGAGCTTCGATTATATTTAAAAATATGGCATTTTGCACTCTAGGTTCTCAGTAGTTTAGATGTTAAAAATATTTTTATGATGGCCCCATGATTTTAAAAACAATGCAACAGAAAATGTGGTTTGGCTAAATAGAATCTGATTAAAATAATTTTCCCCTAAATAAAAAAATATAAGACACAATAGTAAATACATAATTTTTGAACCCATTAATGGTACATGTATCAATTCCCAATTCTACAGATTTCTGGATCACCAATTATGGGCATTGAACAAAAATGGTTTGCTAAGCTTTAGTTTCCAGCAAATCCCATCATCTCTCACAGCTTCACGAACAATGACAGGGATGACCATGATGAACCCAGTTATGCAGTTCTAGCTCTACAAATATAAGCTACAAAGACAGAAGTTCTCCTTCCTTTAGCAACACTTCTTTGACAGCTTTCCTGTATTTGCATATGGCCGATTGATTCGCCTCAGATTCACATATCAGAACACCAGGCAAAATTTTAACAAGAAAAGTTCTTGTCCAGGCATTTTTCAGTAGGCTTCGATTCTCTATCAGCCAAAGGGGAGAAGAAACACATGTGAACCCTGACCACGTCCTCTAATGAGTCTTGGGTGTTCAAACAGCAAAGGTCAGGGTTTTCCTGTAAATAAATACTGACTCCTCACGAAGCTCTTTCATTTCCCATGTGTAAGGTTGCCCAGCAGGCTAGCACATTAGTTCCCAGCTACAATAGGGGAAGCCACATCTAACGGCACTTAAGAATCCAATCTAATATAGATTATGGGTCCCAGCCGGCTTCGGTGATGTCCTTCGGGGAAGGCGGTGGCTCTGGGTGCCTAGAGCACCGAGAGGTCGTGGCAGGATTTGGACTTGAGCTTGAAGGCCATGTTCTTGTTGTTTTTGGCCACGATCTTGCCCCAGAAGCGCCTGGCTTTCCTGGGGATGCTCTCCCGCCGCTTCTGGTAGGCCAGCCGCCGCTCGTTCTTCTCCTTGCTGTCCCGCCGGAGGCGGACCTGCCGCACGATGCCCTCAAACAGCTCCCTGACGTTGTGCTGGACGGCCGCAGAGGTCTCGATGAACTTGCAGTCGAACACCACGGCACACGCTCTCCCTTCTGGTGGGGAAAGCAAGAGGCGGGGGGCAGAGTCAGGGGAGCTGCAGATTTGACCCTCCATGCACACAGCCAAGCTGGATGCGGCCTAACTTTAAATGGTCCCCCAGGGAGCTCGAAGTCAGTGATCCACGTAATGGATACCGGAGGCCACGGGGACACGCGGCCTCCCTTAAACAGAAGCAAAGAGCCTCACAGGAAGATTCCTGGAGGCAGCAAAGACGGGCTTTAGGTTGGGCCCACCAAATTCACGGTGTGAAGGTCCAATTTCACCAGTGTCATAGTATTAATTATAATAGTCCCAGCCATCATCTTAATTGACTCCCCTCGGGAAATGAGTTAAATACTTGACAAATTTTTTTAATGTTCACAACAATCTTTAAAAATACACTATCCCTTTCATATAGCTGATGGGACTGGAAGGGAGAGAAGGCAGTCGTTTACAAACTTGAGGGCATTCACACGGCCTGTAAGTAGCAGCTGTGAATCCAGGTCTACTTCACACTCAAGTTCATGCTCTTTACTCTTTCTCCTGACTCAGTTACCTGAATTGAAAATTAAGAATCCTACTAGTTGATTTCCTCTCTTAAAAAATTTTTTTTTAAGTTTTGATGAGATATTTTGAAAAAATTTTGAAGATTTCACACATGTACAGTACAATTACAGAAACTCTACAAACAAGTTTTTCTGTAACAGGCTCAATTTTGAATGTTCTACTGTGTTCAATGACCAGGTGTCCATGTTTTCGTTTGGGGGAAAACGACTACTATCGACAGCCATTTCCCAAGAGTAAGACATTCCCAAGCTGGTTGGGTCTATTCAGTCTTTTACAGGGTTCTTTACTCCTGGGTGGAGGCTGGCAATGCAACATTTTATTTTTCTGACTACTGTACAAATCTGTATTAGGCCAATAAAATTTTAAGGGCCCCAAAGGCGCTTGGGTGCCAGCTCAACAAATAGGAAGTATCCCTGAATTATGAGAAAGGGTACATGACACCAGCAGACTGATGCCTTGACTGGAATTCAGGAAACAAAGAATGAGGGCTGGGAGGGTGTTTATAGGGTCAACAGGAACCAGAGGCAGCCAGAGTAGAATTCTCAATCTCGGTGAGACTCTTTCTCACAATGCCCTTTAATCAAAGTGCCCTTTAATCAACTTCTTCCTGTCTAAAGAAGTTACTTTCACTTCCCAGAAAGCTTGAGATCTCCCTGGAGAATAGAAGGGATGAGGCAAAAAGGCTAGGGACGGCCAGTTTCCCCTGAGGCGGACCTCTTCCCTAAAGGAATCCCAGAGAAAGCCTTGGGGATGGAGAGACTGGAATCCCGCAGGTAGAACAGATGATCTGCTGGGAACATGGCCCTCTTAGAGAGGATGCATGAAACTCCACGTGGCATTTTAATAAGTCCCCAGTTTCAGCTTCAGGAAAGAGCAACCGTCGGAAGGAAAATGCAAGGGGCTCAGAGGCGTTTCTGCAGTACTGCCACCACTCCTCTTACCTGATACAGACACTTCCCGGCACCGCACCAGGTCACTTTTGTTGCCAACCAGGATTATCGGGATGTCCTCGGTCTGCCGGGCCCTGCGGAGCTGAATCCGCAGCTCGGATGCCTTCTCGAAGCTGGCTCGGTCCGTGATGGAGTAGACGATCAGGTAGGCATCCCCCACCTGCATGCAGTGGTCCTGCAGCCACTCACTCTCCCCCTGATAAAGGAGAAGATCTTCCATGAGCTCAGATCTGCCTGGTAAATGAGATGTCCGTTTGAAAGAGAGAATGTGTCTATCCCGGAGTACCTCTGCTGATACAGGAAAGGAAGAAAATTCATTCTGACTCCCCCAAAGGCATCAGTCCTCCATGATGTCTGTGACTGTAAAGACTGCTAGCTCAGACAGGATGGATGCCAAAAACTTTGACTTTCCAATTCCTCCTACGGCTTGAGGAGTTGATAAATTATACGATGGGTCTGCCAAACAATATTTCCAATTGTATTTCAACTACCGAAAAGGAGCCTTTCCTGGCTTCCATAAAATTCTTTTTGCCTCTCCTAAGTGATGAAATTAAGAATCCTTTCATTAGCATAGGAGGGTTCTCAATAAACAGAAGGTCTAGCATACAAGCTCAGAAACCCCAAACCTTTCACAAAAAGAAAGCAAAATGTGAAAACTATTGAGAATGTCAACATCATATAATATGGTTTTATGTAGTTTAAAATTATCACCCATATTTACTGGGACTTTCCCTAAAACAATTACACTTTTCTATTTCTGAATAGACCTAAGGGCAGATCACTGCCACTTGCTTGTTATTCAAAGCTCATTTATGAACAACTTGTTCCTTACAATAGTTTCCGTCTTCTGAAGTAAATGCTTTTTAATCAAGAAAATGAGTCCACCTTATCTGGAACATCAAGAAGGACAATGTCACCCTTTCACCAAACAGCCTGTTGGAAGGCAGGCCCCAGAGTTTACAGAGAGTCACAGGCCCTGCATACCTTGTTCTCCCACATGTCCAGGAGGATAATTGTTGCAATTTCCCCATCAACCATCAGTGTTCGTTCATAGGTATCTTCTGGAAAAGAAAGAACAGTGATGTTGGAGTCAGACAAATAGGCAACACTTTTCTCTAAGAGGGTGATGCAGCAAATTATGCCAGAAAATAAACTTACTAAACATGTAATTAATTATGCAAGTATACAGAGTAAACTGTGTAAATATTAACAAACACTTTTTTAATCACCTTTACCAACATTCCACACATATGCCTCCAGTATTTACTGAACAAATCTCCTGCATCTTCCAAATATGTGTCAGTAAACACTTGAAAGGCAACCATTCATTTTCATCATTCCTTTATGTTTTATACAGGAAAACCCTTTAGAATAAACTCACTTCAGTACTTTTGACTCCAATTCCATGGATGCTGCCTAAAAACACTGACTGCCCAGGGGAACTGCAAACCTAGCTCACAACCCTCACAGGGGTGATGACTGAACATTCACTGGCAATTTCAGGAGCTTTCAGCTCACAGAGCTCTTTTGAGATACGCAAGGAAAAAGTCTTGAGACTACCCTTGTTTTGATGACATTTTCTGCATTTAAAAAATACAGGTCCCTGGAATAAACGGGCTTGCTTTTCCGTCTTAAGTAGAACAGAGGCGCAGCCTCCAGCTCCACTTAGTGATGGAAACTTCCCTCCTGGCACTTGAGCCCAGATGGCGTGTAGGTGAAGGGTGAGTGCAGTCCAAAGGGCAGAGCAGCTCCAGGCCAGAAAAATCAGTGTGTGTGTAGGGGGGAGGGGATTAACTGAGTTCAGTGGGATTTTTGCAAGAGAAATTCCCATCAATGCCACGCAACTGAGCCCGTACCCCCTCTATTTGCTCAATGCGGTTTCCTGTTTTGAATTTTATCATTAAAAAATTATGATCTTCATAACGATTTGTTGTCATTTTTTTTTTTTTGGTCATTTTTCATTGGCTGTTCTTTTTGCTAGGAACTAGTTCTATCAGAGAAGGAAATGGCAATCCACTCCAGTATTCTTGCCTGGTGAATCCCAAGGAGAAAGGAGCCTGGTGGGCTACAGCCCATGGGGTCGCAAAGAGTCAAGACACAACTGAGTGACTAACATACATACATACACACACACACACACACACACACAGAGTTCTATCAGAAGGAGAAGAGGGCATCAAAGGGTAAGATGGCATCACTGATGCAACGGACATGAACTTGGGCAAACTTCGGGAAACAGTGAGGGACAGGGAGGTCTGGCTACAGCCCATGGGGTTGCAAAGAGTCGGACACGGCTGGGCGATGAACAACAACACTTCTCTCCAATATTCGAAGGCTTATTCCCTTACTCCTTCTGAGGGATGTGTTTCCTGACCATCTTCTTAAAATTCCATCATCCTTCTCCTCCCAATATTCCTTACTCCCTTCCCTGTTTTATTTTTCTTCACTGTGCGGACTGCCAGCTAACATGAATGCATTTAATGTACTCATTTTATTATTTTCGGTCCTTCTCACCTTCCAGAATGTTAAGGCAGAGATTTACCTCTGTGCTCTTCACTGCCCTCTCCCCCAGCACCCAGGACACTTCCTGGGTCCTTATCAAATGAGTGAATGGATGATAAATATAGCATTGCAGCTGCAAGCACAAGCAAACCTGAACCCAAATTTGGGTGCCGGCCCTTATTAACTATTTGGCTCTGTATTGCTTTCTTAATTTCTCTGAGCCTCAGTCTCTTCATCTGTGAAATGGAATTGATTACAGTATCCATACCCCAGGGCTATCTGACAATTACATTTATCAAGCCTGGGCAGAAAGTAGAAACACAGTAGATGTTGGCTGTTACCATCATTCTTCAGGTCGTGGAAGCTGGTCCCTGCATACTTGCTGTTTCCTATCACCGGTAATCCTAGCCGAAGAGCCCTGCATTGTAGGAACCAGGACATCTCCTGCTTTATGATAGTGAGGGACTCAGAAGAGGCAGCGCTCCTGGTTTACATAATTGAAAAAGACACATCATCCCAGTGTTCATGTGCAAATTGTAATCATACTATTTACAACAGCCAGGACACGAAAGCAGCCTAGATGTCCATCAACAGAAGAATGCACAAAGATGTGGTACATATATACAATGGAATATGACTCAGTCATAAAAAGGAATGAAACTGGGTCATGGGTAGTGATGTGGATGAACCTACAGTCTGTCGCACAGAATAAAGTAAGTCAGAGAGAGAAAAGCAAACACTGTACATCAATACATACATACAGAATCTAGAAACATGGTACCGATGAACCTATTTGCAGGGCAGGAATAGAGACACAGCTGCAGACAACGGACCGGTGGATGCAGTGGGGGAAGAAGAACTCGGGACCAACTGAGCACTGATGTGTGTAAAATAGCCAGTGGGAAGCCACTGCATTTAGCACGGGGGGCCCAGCCCAGCGCTCTGTGACCATCTACAGGGGCGGATGCGGGGGGCAGAGGCTCAAGAAGAAGACACAGGAGTGCTTGTAGCTGATTCACACTGCCCGACAACAGAAACTAACAATGCTGTCAAGCAACCACGCTCCAATTTAAAACAGAAAAGCCATGCTCCTGGTCTAATGCTTCTTCACCTAGGTATTAGAAACAGGAGAGGGAAAGGAAGGAAACACGGACAAAGGAGAATAAAAATTAACCAGGAATGACTGGGTCTTTCTGTCAGTGTCCCTAACTATTTTGGAGTCACTCTTCTAAATGATGGTAACTGTTTCCCACCGGGGATTTTTAAGTCTATTATTCCCACCATGTTTGCCACCCTCAGTATGCATCAGGAATGGATTGCACTGAATAGCATAACTTGGCTTAGTGGAGAGTAGGGTCTCATGACTTCAACAGGCAAATTTATACAACCAAGTGCAAATCATCAGTTTGGGCCACACAGATGGTACAGAGGGTAGTGGTGGGGGCGTGCCTGACTGCCCATGACCGCCTCGGAGTGTTTACCTTTTCTCTGAGAGCTCTCCTCACACTCAGAAAACTTAAAAGAAAAAAGGAAAAAAAAAAAAAAACAACCACTTTCTCTGCTCATCACTTACTACCCAAAAGTAGGCACAAGGGATCTGCTTGAATCTCTAGTAGGTCAGACAGAAACATACTGCACTCCTGTAGCTAAAGGAAAAAACAAACTCAAACTTTCTCTTGGTTTGAGAATTATCAGAAGAGGTAAAGAGGAAAAAGTGGACTGAAGAGTCCAGTTGCAAATTAAGGCCAAACTGCTTCGCTGTTCCAGAAGGTTCCTGACAGAATCGTTTTGACTTACCTCTGCCTGAAAGGCACTGTGTTGGAAACCCAAGAGCCTAAGACAATACCTTTCAGCCCTGCTGTGTGCACGCGCCCTGCACCTGGGTTATGCGTCACCTCTGGCTATGCGTCACCTCTGGCTACGCGCCACAGGGATCCCTCAAACACACAGAGTGTCCCGCCGGATAGCCTTCTGCTGCCAGGAGAGGACCTGCCTGACACCAAAGCTTGCGTTTCTCTTCCTCTCAGGCACTTACCTTTCAGCCTTTTTAAGTGCTAATCAGCTGAGAAGAGGTGACATAAAAGAATATGAAATTCTAGAAGAGTCCTTTGAAATCTGCAGTGGATTAAGGTGTGTGGAGAAAGGGTTGAGGCCTCTTGCTAGGAAGGCTTCTCAGAACCCTGGTGTGGAGAAGGCCTCCTTTTTCTGGTGCTGCCCCATGAAAGCTGGGGGGCGGGGGGGCTCACCCCCTGTAGAGCAGGAGAGACCCTCCTGAGGGGTGGGGGAGAGTTTCTAACACTGAGTGACTGTGGTCGGTCGCCATTTTCCCTGACCTGCTGCCTCTTGATTTGTCTGTACTGCATTTGACCCCCTCCCCTCTTTGCTCGGAGGACCACCCTCCTCAAGACTGGCTCCAGAGCTGTGTGTGAGCCTGAACAGGAGTTCTCTCACCTGCTGGAACCAGTCCTCGCAGCCCCTGGAAAGTTCTGAGGCTCCAGCATCCCTCTCCCCCCAGAACTCTCAACTGCTTTCAGCTTTCAGAGTCCAGAGGGTCCCACTTGGAAAGGAGCGCCTGCTGAGGCGCAGCGGCCTCTCCTCCAGGGGCTCCCGTCTCCTCCGCCCGCCTCACAGGGCCCCAAGTAAGAGGGACCAGAGTGGATGAGGGACTTGAAGCAGCGAAAGAGCCAGCGCGGAAGACAAGGCCACGGGAAGGAAACAGCAGACGCAGCATCAGCTCCAGCTAATGCTCACTTGGTACTCACTCTGTGCCCGGCACTGTGCTATCTCCCTTTATCCTCTTCATAACCTTTGACGTAGGTACTGTCCCTATTTTACTAATGAGGAAGCATGAGGAGGGTGAGTATCTTGTCCAAGAGCACCCAGCATCAAAGTGAAAAGAAAGTGAAAGTGGCTCAGTCATGTCCAACTTTTTGCGACCCCATGGACTAGTCCATGGAATTCTCCAGGCCAGGATACTGGAGTGGGTAGCCTACCCCTTTTCCAGTGGATCTTCCTGACCCAGGAATCAAATCAGGGTCTCCTGTGTCGCAGGCAGATTCTTTACCAACTGAGCTATGAGGGAAACCCAGCTTCAAAACTGGGGTCCAAACCCACACACGAGGTTTTGAGTCCAGTGGTCTCCGCTGTATTTCCTGTGCGCACGTGCGGTGTCTTCCCACCTCCTTCGGGGCTTCTAATCCTAGCGGTTCTTGAGGTCCAGCTCAGAGACCAACACTTACACTAACCTTTTCCTGATTTTTCACAGCCAGAAGTAACATTTATTTTCTCCTCTGAATTCCCCCGGTACTGCCCTTGTACCTCTTTGAAGATACTAATCACATCCTATCTTGATTTATGAGTGTATATCTGCTCTCTGCTGCATATACTGTCAGCATCTCTAAGGAAGAAACCCCATGACTCTTCGTATGTCCTCACTGAGTGGCATCAAGCTTCATGGTTTACGTTCAGTAACGGATGAATGGACACATGGATGAATGAATGAATGAATGGCATTAAATGTGCACAGAGAGTCATAAGATTAGTGCAATATGATCTTAACAACATTCATCTTTATTTGGAGAAATAATGATGAGAGTATTGTGTAGTGTCTATCTTATGGATAATGCTGAAAAAAGAACAATGCAGTGAAGTGCCATGGAAAACCCTCTCCTCAGGGAACATAAAGCCAACTACCAATTCCAACAGCCTCCCACAGGTAAGAGCTGTAATCCCAGACAGTATGAGTCGCTCAAATAGGTCAGGTTAGGCAGGATGAGTCACCCAAGAAGCTTCCTGTTGTCAAAGATTCTCTGTCTGAGGAGATCAGGAAAGGATTCTCCCTACCAACAGTCCCCTCTCCCCATTAAACAAAGCAGCCTCCAGAATACAGAACCTGCCTTCCCACAGTTCAGGGATGGCTCAGTCTTCTTCATACCCTATGCCCACAGGAATACCGCCCTCTGGATAGATACCACTGTGCTCTAATGGACAAACATTTTTGAAAGTCTGCTATCCACTAATTATTTCAATTCCTCCCTCTCAAAGAAATGAACACAAATTCTTAGTTGGTCTCTTTTTCATATCAATCCCCAAAGTACTTTACTGTGACTTCTTTATTAATTTTTACGCTGCTCTAAATTACAGCCCCTGGCCCTCAGATCCTTCCTAAGAGGGTATTATGGTATACCTCATCCATCACTGAGTACCCCAGAGCATGGCATGAAGCAAGGCATGTGGGAGGTACCCTGCCCAAAGTGCTATAGTATGTAACAGCATTCAGATGTTAAATCCAGGGGCAGCAAGTACACTAAAAGAACACAGGAATTTAGGTTCAATCACAACTAGTTTTGAATCCTGGGCAAACCATGGACTAGCTTTTTCACCCTGGGAAAGTCACTTGACATCATAAGCTTCCATTTCTTCACCTATAAAATAGGGACTTTAGAACCAAATGGGCTTAATTTTTATAAGTACTATTAAAATACCTGTGGGAAGTACTTAGCACTATGTGCCTGGCACATAGCAGGTTCCCTATCAATGGCGGAAGGCGAACACCACCAAACTAACATTCTAAAATCCCAGGTTCTAATCCAACATGCTCCAGAGGGTGATTCCAGGTAAGTCCCTAAGACTCAGCCACTGACATGACGTGAGGACCAAAATAAACAGTCACAAATATAAGGCACCGAATAAAGTGCCTGTCCCACTGCAAATGCAGGTTCTAGATGATATCCTCCTCCCTTTCTCCTATAGGGACACTCACCCATGGGTTTTTACCAAAAAAAAAAGAGATACTGAGCCTCTTTCTCCCTTGAACTAGGGTTTAGCTATCATCCCTGAGACGTCAGGAGTGAGGAGAAAAATCAATGTTCTATCAATGAGTCATCATTTAAAGCCGGTTCCGGAGCTGCCTCGTGAAGCAGTGAACTCCCAGACAAAGGAAGAATAGATGTTTAGCAGAAATGGGCTGACAGCAGTCAGGAAGGAGTAGGATTTCTGTGCATCAAGCAGAGGGCAGAACCATGTCATCACTAAGACATCTTCCTACTCCTGAAATCTGTGATTCAGCAGTGAGTTGCAACTGAGCATTCAGGCAGACCATGCCACTGGGACAAGCACGCTTCCTTCATTTCCGCAACTGCAAACAGGGACATACAGCGAACCTGGCATTGTCTAAGACCCTGTGGCTGAAAGACACTGAATGGAAACCATCGACTACAGGAGCCTCATCTTACTTCCCAGAATACAGTGTTATGCTTTACTTGAGGAATATGTGACTTTTTGAGACTGTATCATCTCAGATCAGTTTTGGAAACCAAGGCCTAAATAATAAACACCTTAAATGAGATTACCCATGGAAAATTGAAAAACCATAAGTATACTTACAAATGTTAAGTATCATCATTGTTATATTTCAATATCTTTTTAAAATATTGTGCTATTTAAAATAGAGATTTTAAACAATTTTATACCCTCAAAAGCCGCTGGTACTGCAATAAACAAACTAATGCATTCATCCTAACAGTTTTCTAGTTGGCTTGGTTTTAAGTAGCACCATGGAAAAAGGCTATGTCTACACTGAGCGCTTGAAAGGTCCAGGTCAGAACTGTTAAAAGCCAGAGGTAGGATCCTGACCCTCCGTCCGGCTCCACCCTCTGGAAACCATCTCCCCAGTTTAGAGCTGGAATCTAAGAAATTCCCTCTCTGGCCCAGCTTCTATCTACAAGCGTTTTCACTTTCTTGTCCCAGAGGCCTATGCCAGTGCTTCCGTGGGGACTCGGCTCCCCAGGCAGAGCCAAGAACGCATAATCACAGTTCCCAACTCTGCAGACAAATGACCCATCCACTCACTCTTCCTACAGGACCGCTGCCGACCCCGTAAAGCCCGCCGGGGCCAGGCCACCTACCTCCAAGCACTTCGCAGTCGCTGTCCATGCTGTCATGGACACCCGCAAAGATGTTGGCCAGAGTGGACTTGCCCACCCCCTGCTCCCCGATGAGAACCACCCGGTAGTAGGTGTTCCCGGACTCGGAGGAGATGACTGAGTCCGTGGAGTCGGAGGACCAGCTCCGGCGGCAGGGGTCCTCGGGGGCGGCAGGGGGACGGCTGCGCTGGCCATACTGCTGGGGCTCCTTCTGGACCATGAGATGCCTGCCATCGGCGGGGATGCTCCAGCGCTGCTGCTGCGGCTGCACGCCCGCCGTGCCCTGGCGCATGGTGACATGGTTCAGAGTCATCGTCAGGTCCTGGAAGGCAAAGCAGCCAAGATGGTAGCGTCAGGAAGCAAGAGTTCAGGGAGCCTGAACACAGCCATCGGTGATATTTAGTACGTGAGGTCACCACGTAACCCTCACACAAGGAACACCAGGGAAGCAGTCCCCAAACCCAACAGGCTTTCAACTGAACTCACACACACAGACACACAGACACACACACACACACAGCAGCTCCTCGGGCAGGCTGTCATTTGCAAAGAGGAAAAGCTACCGTTAATATCGTCCATGGCCCTGGGGCTTCCTCCATCCTCAAGGAAGCCTGGGGATTCCCCACTCAGAGCGGGCACAGAGGCAATCAGAAGGCACCAACAGCCTCCAGAGAAGGCTTGAAAAGCAACAAGTTAATGCAGCTGGGGACCAGCTGGCCAGGTTAGCTGCTCTTGTCTAAACATGGCACTTAAGTAGCACCAGCCCCCAGCAGGCTTTTATGCCTCAGTGGGGAACACGTGACAATGACATCATTCTCCCCCGGCTGGGCTGGACCAGGGCTGATTGGAACTTCCATGTTTAGTAAAGTTGCCCTGATGCTTCCCAGCTGCCTGAATATGCTCTTATTTGAGGGGGGAGAAGAATTTCAGCTTGAGGTGTATGCCTCACTTCTGCCCACCTGCCCACAGATAGCACATTTAACCCATCCCAGCCCCCTGCCTTGTCCTTCTGGCAGAGAGACGACCTGCTCACGTTCAGAGCTGTCAAACTTGCAGAGACACTGCTTCACTCTTATTAAACTCTGTCCACTCCAAGAGTTCCCTTCCTTCAACTTGGATTTTCACCTTCCTGAAGCCAATCAGGTCCAAGACTCCCTCCAGAAAGACATTCAACAACTTGGCTACAACTTGGCCTTTCTCAAGACTCTCTCCCCTTGCCCGGAGGTCTGGACTCCCGGGCTCTCAGACATAAAGCAGAAACAATCTCATTTTCATCAGCAAGATGCACTTGTGAGCACAAGACCCTCCCCTTCCCGCACCCACTCCCCCAAACCCCAACACATCGATGACCCTAGCCGCGACCCTCACCGCGATGACCCTGATGACCGGTAGGTTGGTTTGTTTTTAATCTTACAAGCAGCGCCTCCGGTCGGCCGACTCTTCAAACAACCAGAGCCTGAAGTCTCCCTGACGGCTGTCCTCCTACCACAGTCTGGAGGAGACGATGACCCTCCAACTGAACTGCGCTAAAGCAACCTGCCACTGACGCACGGCCTCCTTAAACTCTGGAACACCCTCCCCGACCCCCCCCCGATCGAAGACCACCGCGCCGGACAGCAGGTCCCGAAGGTTCTTTTCCCCACTTGGAAAGTTCTCCGCGGGCTGGGGACGCCCACCCCTTCCCCAGTCCTGCCCCCCGCGCCTCTCCGGAGGCCCCCGCTCCCCGCCGCGGGCCGCGCGCCTTACCCGGGGGGCTGCCGAGGGCGGGCGCGCGCCGCGATGCGGGCGGCCGATCGCGGGGTGACTGCGCCGGGTGCGCCCGCGCCCGCGCCCCGCGGTTTATACGCGCGCGGCCCGGGCTCTGCCGTGACGTCAGCGCCCCCGCCCGGGGTTTGGGGGGCGGGCGGCTCTGCAGCAAGCCCCGAGGGGCAGCCCCTTCGCCAAATCGGTGACTCGCCGTCATGTGACCCCGCCTCTCTCCCCTTTTAAAAAAAAATAACGACAGTTGAATTCCGGGCTCCTTTATTCTGTTTTGTTCTTTTGACCAGGCGGACGCTGGAAGGGGGGAGATAATACATGAAGTGCCCCTTAATCGCACTTCCAAGCAAAACAGTTTGCCAGCTGTCCGGATGAAGGGTGGAGGAAGAGGCAGGTTGGGATTGGAAACCCACTTTCGCCAAAAGACAAAAAAAAAAAAAAAAACACACAGGGGGCTACAGCCACATTGAAGTGTTCAGGGCTTGTGTCAGCCGCATCTTCTGCAAGGGAAACCCAGTTTCGCCAAAAACAAAAAACAAAACAAAACAAAAAAACAGGGATCGGCCAGGCTCCCGTGGAGATTTAGGCTGGGGCTACAGCCCCATTGAAGTGTTTGGGGCTTATGTTATACGCATCTTCTGCAAGGAAAACGGCCTCTGCCCGCTCCTGTCGTCATCCCTGGGAAAGAGGGAAGGAGAGGAGACCCACACTGCTTCTCTTTTCTCCCTTCTCTGACCGGGACCCAGAGAGAAGGGGCCAGAGGAAGGTGGGGCAAGCAGACAATACCTTGAAAAGGTCTTGAAAAAATAGCTTAAGTAGGGATCCAAGCAGATTGGCTCAATGTGGCTAGCCCTCCTGCCCTGGACCCGGACGCGGAGGCTCCTGGATCAGGGAATTTAATCAGCATCCCGACTGGCAGCATCTTCTGTACCAGGATCCCTGGCACGGCCGGTCCTGGCTGTGGAGCCAGGGCCTCTGGCCACGCGAGAAGCCTTAGCCTGCGTTCCAGTGTCCAGAATGATGCCTGTGAATAAAGGGCACAGAATAGTAGAAATAATAGCCACTTCTACTACCATTTACTGAGTACCTCTGAGTCCCTATATTTAGTAGGTACTGTTAGACCTCGGCAGTATCTCAAACTTTACTACAATTTTGCAAGGTGAAGATACTGCTGCTCCCATTATACGGAGGAGGAAAATGACCCCCAAAGTCAGAGAGCTTGCTCAAGGTCACTCAGCTCATGAATGCGGCAGCATCAGGATTCGAGGCTCCGCTTGCCTGGCTCTTTGCACTGTGCCCCCAGCTGCAGGGATTCAGTGACCTCTTTCAGGGGCCTCGGGCATTTCTCAGACACTGTGTTTGGAGGTGACACTAGCCTTTCCAACACATCCATCCGCTTTTCCAGCCAGCTGCATCTCTGGATGGGCTGGTGGCTCCGGAAAACAGCCAGAGGCACCAGCATCTATTCAAGTGGCTGGACTCTGCTGTGCACAGAGTCTGTTCTCTGTTACCCTGCAGCACTTATGTGCTCTGGGGATTATCCAAGTGACCAGCTGCTGAGACATGCCAGGCCCCATGCTGGCAAAGGTGGGATTCCGCAGAGGAATGGCAACCCAGAGCTCTCTTGGTCCCAGGTGCCCTGGGCCCAACCTCCTCATGTTACACATGAGGAAGCTGATACCCAGAGGGATGACTGCCACTCAGATAGTAACCGGCAGATCTGCAACCAGTGCCTGAGGGTCATAATTTCCTGGATGGTTCCTTTCATTTCCATCAAGTTTTCCTTCTGGGCTCAGCCAGGAAGAGAATGGCTACATTTGTGGTGAAAAGAGAAGAGTAAGGGGTCAGGGAGGGACGGAGAGAGGAAGGGGAGGAGACCATCCGAAAGTTTTCCACTGACTCCATAACTGTAGTCTGTGAATTATCTGTATTTCAGAATTCTCTGTGCTTTTCCATGCTGAGCTGACTCTGTCAACTGATCTTAACAAAGACACTGAAAGTGAAAGTCACTCAGTTGTGTCTGACTCTTTGCTATCCCATGGACTATAATTCTCCAGGCCAGAATACTGGAGTGGGTAGCCTTTCCCTTCTCCAGGGGATCTTCCCAACCCAGGGATCGAACCCAGGTCTCCTGCATTGCAGGTAGATTCTCTCCCAGTTGAGCCACAAGGGAAATCCAAGAATACTGGAGTGGGTTGCCTATCCCTTCTCCAGCGGACCTTCCCGACCTAGGAATCGAACCAGGGTCTCCTGCATTGTAGGCCGATTCTTTCCCAACTGAGCCATCAGGGGAGCCAACAAAAACACTATGTGTAAATCAGAGTATATAAGCATACCATGTAGCCTCTCAATTCTACCTTCTCCCATTGATAAGAACCTAATTCTTCCCATTAATAAGAACCTAATTCTATGCCTAGACCATATCCCCTCTTAACTGTTGTTCGTTGGTATATGTGAAGCACGCCAAAGAAAACCAACTCTAGAAGTGGGGGAGGGGACTCTTCAGTCCCCTATTGACTGGAGAAGTACAACAGTGCTGTGTTTGAACCTGCCTTCTTAAATTTTCTGTCCCACAAGAAGCCAGATGAGAAAGCAACGACTTGGGAAGAGTTTCAACTGAATGACAGTTAGGTTGGAGTGGATATTTAGATGAAAGTCACAGTTATACCAGCAAAAACACATATCAGAGCCAAGCTTTATCCAGCAGAGTCCCAGCTGCCTCGTCCAGGATTCCAGCTCACTGGGACCATCTGAGGGTTTAGAGATGGAGAAAAAAGGTGGGATCAGGACATTTGGACAAATAGCAAGTTCTGAAGAAGAAAAATTGGCAAAAGATTGTAGTTTCTTATTCTATGAATTATTGTGTCTGTATTCCTTTCATGGGCATTTGAAGGCTTCCTCAGGTTTTAGCTAGTAGGGCAAAGAGTGGGGCTAGGAGACAGAACTCCAAACAAAAATAACTGACATTTACTGACAAATGCACATACCTAACCTCAGTTCATCCTCACCACCACAGCCTCTGCCCATGTCTCACAGACGAAGATGCTGAGGAATGATGTGAAATAACTTGTTCAAGGTCACAGAACCAATAGGTAGCAGAGCTGCGCTCTCTGGGGCCACAGACTTAACCACTGTTGTTTAGAGTAGGAGCTACACGTCAGCCCCGTTCCCCACACCCCCTCCCCTCAGCCTACCTCCTTCCTAATCCCCCTCAAAAGAAGAGTTTTGATTTGATTGGCAAAAGCCCCTGACCTTCACTGGGCCACATATCACTAGTATATTACTAATGGGGAAGGTCTCTCTCTCCCTAAAGGCATGAACCACACTCTTCTCTATCTTTTCTCCAGCTTCTGTGCTTGGATGAGAAGGTAAACTTGGGGTGCCTTTGGGGGCCTGACTATCTCCCTGTCTCAGTCACCCTGTCACTCTTTTTTCTTAGCATAGAGACCTGTGCAGCCACCCCATGATTTCAGAAAGAGATGAGAGAGGGAGGAAGAGGTTGGGAAAGAGGGGGAGAATGTTTGACCAGGCCTGGGGTTGATGCATAAGGGATCAACCATTCATGTCCTATTACTATGAATATCATACTTTGAAAGTTCTAGGGAAGGCAAGATGATGGGTAGACCCAGGATCAGTGCACCCTTGGGTCTGTAATACTATCCTAAAAGCCATAGAATTACTCGATCTTTCTCATTTATACTGGAGACTTGCTGCCACCAAGGTCATGCTTCTTCATGCCACCAAGCCAGTGCTACTCAGTGATAAAGTGATGCCATCCACCTTCACCAAAACCCAGAGAAGTGATGTCCTGAACGCTGAAGAGGTGATCAAATAAATGGGCTTGGTTTTTATTGCTTTCGAAATGCTTGGCCTTGAGATGGCTTGAGGCAGAGCTTGTTGTCTGACTCCCCAGAGTCCTGACTACCCTCTAATGTCTTCTACTCTGGTCAGCTTCTCTCATTTAGATGAGCTACCTGGCCCCCGAAGCATTTGCCTTGGTGACCCCTGCAAGGGCTGAAAGGACAGATAGCGGATTCAGCGCTAGGAAGGCAAGGTGAAAGCTCAGCCTTTCCTCTTCCTGGTCACACGATCCTGGGGATGTCACCAAACCCCAGAGGCCTTGGCTTCTGCTGCTGTGAGGACTAAAGGGCTACTGAGCTTGGAGCAGTCTGTTAACCACAGAGAGCTCTGTTTCAACGTGATTATGATGATGACGCAGGAGCCGAGGCTTGGAGCTTGGCCACCTGCCATCAGTAGCACTGCCCCCGAAGGCTCCAGTTAAATGAAGCCAGCAGCACTCAGGACACACGAGGCAGGCTTGGAAATGTACTCCTGTTGATGTTCCTAGGAAAAAATAATAGCAAGAAGAGTGGGATGGTTAAGTCCTTTATAAACAAACAAGGATGTGGGGTCAAATCCCGCACACAGAATAGGTCTCCACCAGCCACAAAAGCAGTGGGAGGATCTGGGTGGGAGGCAGTGTGCAAAGTGTCTGAGTCCAAAAAGAACCTCCCACCCACTCTGGGAAGTCTAAAGAAGGAAAGAATTACTATATGGAAAATCATTGCTTTACAGAAGGGGGAAAAAAGACTCCAATTGCAAAATCAAGAGAGTCCTGATTAAGAGAAAATGAAGACCAAAGAAAAGAAGGCTAAGAATAACCTCGCCACTTCCAGAGGCCTGTGGGATCCAGATGGACACTCCCGCCAGCTGCAGCCTCCTTCAGTCTGGCCCCAGCTTCTCATCAGACTCCTGCTGAGCAAATTTAATTTTCCATTGAAAAAATTTTTAGCTGCCACCCTTCCTCTGCTTCATTAGCCCAGGCTGCTGCAGACCTATGCTACTCTTTCTAAAACCCTGCAGGCTGCATGCAGGAGGTATCTCAGAAGGGCCTAGGGGAGGCTCCTGGAGAAAAAAGACATTCTCTGCCCAGGTTCCTCCATTCACTACAGTAACCACTGGGCACTCATGTGTTACCAGAACGTGTTCTAAGGGCTAGGGGTAAGGTACACATTCATGGAACTTACATTCTGGAACTTATTTTAAAAATTACTAAATAACGAAGTATCACCATATGCACTCATTCATTCATTCACTCATTCTTTCTCTGAGCTTGCCACCGTTTAGCCTCAGTCTCCTCATCTGTAAAAAGAGAATAATACTGGAGACAATGTACAAAGTCAGGGTCAAGTACACACCCGTTCAGAAGTCTGACAATAGCAAGGCTGATG